ACGATGGATGCGTGAGTCGCCCATCTCCAACCTTTTCTGCAAAATAATTTTTAGGAAGATATTTGCGGACTATCCTACGAGTTTGATTTATAGGCAGAGAGAAAAACGAAGACAAAACAATTTACAGGTTTTGTTTTAAAAATACCTAGAAAATGAAGACAAAATACAAAGAGTTATGGAGTCAGCGCTGTGTGTGTGTTTTATGTGTCGGTGATCGAGAGAGTGCCTGTGTGTGGGAGCTTAAACGCTCAGTGAAGTTTAAGACATTCCTCCTTTGCAGTGAATGTGTGACCTTCATGAGGGGCAATGCATTGTCTCTCTGGCTTCCCTCTGTTTCTTTTTTTTTTTTGCTTTTTGTTTTTCACAAAAATTTTCAAGCTTAGCTTGTTTTTCTTTCACCCGCGTCAGACAGGGAAAAAGAGTGCACACATCCGCACTGTATTTTCAGGATCTTCCTTTTCGTAGTGGCATGGCTTCTTTTGCCAAAGGCTGTTATCAACCCCTGGCAATGATTTGTTTCTGCAAATACTTGTGTCCGGTTCCCAGGACGTGTCCCTCAAAGACGCCTTTGAAAAATTGATGATTCCTTACTGTCTTGCGTGATATACCGTCGAGGTGCTTCTTTAAGGGCCGGTTGCATGTCATCGTGGCTGCCTTTACTATGATGCGAACCATCTCTCTGCGATTCTTGGGTTCTGGTCGCTTGTTGAACTTCAGGGAAGCTTGCAGGGGTCCATGCATTTCTTTCCATGGTACAATGAAGTTCTCCGCCCCTTCTAGGTCTAGGTGTGAGCTCGGTAACTCAGTGCTTGTATGGACTTTGGTATAGAATCCCTTGACTGTTGTTCTGACATGTCATGAGAACAAGAGCAGCCCGTTTCCCCGTAAATATGGATAATAATATTAATGATAATAATATAATATGACATATTTATATCATCACAAATATAAGGCAGGATAACAAACAAAGTTTTCTCCCTTCGAGTTTCCGTCATTTGTAGGATCGACTTTTAAGTGCACCGCGTGCCGTACCGCACCACCCCCCCCCCCCTTCCGCCCCCCAAACATGTAGTGTTTTTTTACCACAAAATTATCGTATGCATCGTCGTACGTCTGTCCAAATATAGCGCTACCTGTCCTTAAAAGATGCCAAAGCTTCATAACTAACCGTTATCTTACCATATTCAAAAGTTAAGTGTTTTTCTGAAACTTGCAATGGGGAAAACGGGGCCCGCTCTCGGCAGTTTGCACCTTTCAGCCAATGTATTCGTGGGTTTCAGCGGCCATCAGTTCGCTCTCTAATGGCCCTAAGGGCCCTGAAAATATATGTAATTGAATGAATAAACTATGACACATCTACAGAGCACTCTATCATCAGGCGCTACTATTTTTATCAATAGTCTATGAAATCCTAGCACCAACAGACAGCTGTTAAAGCTACAAATTATGCAGCCTACCTAAATATGTGGCACCAACTTGCAATTTTGCCTAAATAGGGAATTTTCGTAAACCGCGTTTCCGCCTCCGCTAAGCCCTCCGCAACAAAGAGGCCGCTGCGCTTGCGCGCCGATGGCCTTGGCTGTAGAGTTCCGGGTATCGTAGCAGGTTGCGAAGAGCGTTGTGGGACGGCGAGAACAATATACGAAAACTCCCTATTATTCCAAGGGAAAAAATCGTACCTTCAGCAGAGAAGCTTCCAAACAGTTTCCGTCTTGACTTCGTTACAGGCACCCCGCCAAGGCTGCTTCACTACCATAGCTAAGGTCACTGCTCTTCTTAACACCAAGCTTTTGCAAAGCTTTCATCGTCAAACCACTGATTTCTGGTTTCGTCAGGTTGCCTAACGCACAAAAAACTTTTTTCTTGACAGAATCCATCCTAAAATGAAATCATATTTTACAATTAGGATAGAAAAAAAATTTAATATTGGGGTGTGCGTATTTCTATACAACCCAGGACTTAGTCTGCCTCAACTGGCGACTTGTCTCCTAGGTGTAGAAGAGAAATTTAGCTAGAGCAGTACAGCCGCTAGCCTGGGGTCTTTAACGTGGATCACGCAGTATAGTGATACACGACCACAGGCCCGTACGATGCTCATTCAGATCGAAATGGGCGAAGGCAAGGATTGAACCCAAGATCCCTGGGTTCTGCAGCGCGAGATTTCGATCCACGTGATTCGAGCTGGGTGTGCGCTAGCCCACTCGGCCACCGATCCCCCGTAATTAGGATAGACTTCTTATGAAGACTGTAGTGTTGAAGCGGAAAGTCATCACTCAGAGATGTCAGGTATTTAGGCAGACGTGATCACACATTTCACTAACCGCGTAATAGTGGAACGGTGACATGAACCTCCCATAATAATTGCGCAGCGTAAACAAAACAGTCTTTATTTACCACTAAACCTCGAAGAATTTTCCCGAACACGTGTTCATGCGACTGAAGTGCCACAAACATTCCATGAGTGCAGGCTGTTCTCATGTAGATCACTTCGTCTTTCACACTCGCACGTATACCAACGATATTCCCAAATTCCTGGTACACTGCTGCAATTCAGTACAATAAATATGCATATTATAGGGGGTACTGCTTTTATAGTTCACAATGAGGATGAAAAATGGGCCAAAATGCAAGTATGCTTAAAGTAACTAATGCCCCTGCGCTAGGGTACGTGTACAAAGTGATTTGAAGTTTTTAGCTGTCGCACACAGTTCTTAAAGTAAGAGTGATTTGATTCGAACCTTGTGGTCCAGGTATTGGTCAGTGAACCAAACTCCAGAATAAGGCCTGGATAGTGTAACAGAATATGGTGCTTGGGAAGCAAGGCTTCCGAATACATAAACTATAGAGAATTTTAGGGAACCGTTTTTGCACATCCGATACAGTACGATGGGCACTTCGGTACGAACTGCGCATATGTTAGTCTTCTGTATTAGCGCATGCGCAGTGCGTAACGGAGGGCCCATCGTAACGTATCGGATATGCAAAAACGGTTTTCTAAAACTCCCTATAAACACGTCGTGGTTATCATCACTGGGTTTTCTCACGGCAAAAGCACCGTCTTCATTACAATCCGCACTAGTCGATGGAGTCGAAGGGTCCTCAACTTGAAGCGGGACTGCAGGCGATATGCCGTCGCCCAAGAAACACGTCAAAGGTGAATACGCCCTGCACAAAGGTGGTGTGGACAATGATTTCACACCAAATACCTTGTGACAGTTGGAGTACAGACACGTAACCAAGATACCATCGGTGATGTGGCCCTTGAGATGTTTTAGCGAAGCCTCCCTTGTGCGACTATCGACTTAAGCATAATGGCGAAGTGCACTGAACAGTTTCCAAACTCCTCGAAGCACACCGAACTTGCCATTGGGCGTTCGAATGCCGATGAGTTGTCAAAACAGGACACCTGAAAGCAGCACACGTAATGAACTGGCGACAGCATCCTCCGTCAAAGAACGAAATAATTCAAGAGCTGAAAGTGTGCACATCGATGTGTCTTGGGATGTTACAAGGTCGCCGGAAGCGCGTTTTCCTCATGTCGACGGGTAGAGTGGTCCAACTGGTTTCTTAATGCCTTAATAATTTGGAACGAATGGCTGTGAATACTACCCTGGGTATTCGTGATGACGTACGTAGATTTCAAAGTTTTGTTGGGATTGCTTTGTTGCCCATCGTTCCGTGATTAGATATCTCTATCGCTGTACGGATGTTTCAGATTCATTTCGATACTTTCTGGCCAATATAAAAAAAATGATTCGAAATCAGTAACTGTAAAAAATATTAAAATATATCTTACGCTTTGCAAAGTTGAGAATTTAGACTTTATTTAATTTGAGTCGCACATATACGTACAAACACCAATCTTCCTACGCCTCTTCTCTGCATCACCCTGGTGAGAATCGGTGAACCGATTACGGCACGTTTTCCAAGCTGTTGTTAAGGTATACAGGAAAATTAAGAGGTTTCATAGAACTTTCTAAGTGTTTTAATAAAATGCAATTATATATTTATTTGGCCAACTTTTAGGCCGGGGTAACAGCGCACATACATCATACAAGCGAAAGTCTGCAAACACGAGTCAGTGCAATAACCTTGGTTCGAATGCCGCGTGCCAAGTTTCATCCTTGAACTCATTGCAATGCGGCATTCGAAGCAGGAACATCGCGGTCACTGGCGTTCGAATCTGTATGCAGACTGTCGTTTGTGTGATGTATAAGCAGTGTCACCCGGCTTTAGGGGTGCCGAACTTGTTTTCAAATCAAACTCTTAATTATTCTTATAAAAATTAAAATTTAGTGCGCGAGAAATACTTGAAACATTAAGTATTCTGAGCTCTATATGCTCCGCAGAGAAATCTCTCATAAGGGCCCAAAATGTTTACTATGTTTTGTATGATATGCTTTTTTTCATGCGTACCGTCAACTTCACATTTAATAAAACACCCAGTTTTTGAAGAAAATAATTAGACTAACCCCTGTGGTTCAGTTTCACTGATGAAACAAACAAAAAAAAATTAACCCTTTCAAATTTGTCTGCGGATGCTGAATGCCTGCTACACATTGAAAACATGCTGGTAAATTTATTTCTCTCATGTTGTAACTTGCTGCTGTTCCGTTATTCCTTATGGGCACTCATGTGATATTACGAGGGTTAGTTTATATTGTAAATTTTATACTATTCTAACGTGAACATAAGACATCACTTTCGAGGAATATGTAAGCTAGCACGTGACTGTCTTACAGGTTCATTTGCTCATAAAAATTTACATGTGACAGATAGAAAGTTATCATCGAGGCTATTTGTTTCTTATAAACGTTACTCGTTTTATTGTTGGTTGTGAATCTTAAGGAGTCTTGATTGAAAATATTTTGCGTGGACATTATCAATAACTGGGAAGTCCACGGAAATAATAATCTGTCATACTCTGTCGCGTAAAACATTAAAGCGATGAAAAAGAAGACAACGAAAAAGCTTAGAATATTCCCATTTCTTCATTTCAGAATGTGAACTCTGGGTCAATGCAGATGCAGTAGGTTCCGATGACGATGAAAGCGTCAATGAGAAGATCGCTAAATGCATAAACGTATACAACAAGCAATGCCCAGACCAGAAGAAATACGAAATCTACGATGAAGCTACATGCAATTCGCTTGAAACGAGTTCCAAATAGACTGAAAATTGACGAATCAAGACACAACATTGCACACTATGGCAATCAGTTGAGAGCACGCTGGATTAAGTCAAATTAATTTTGATGAGTTTCCTGTGTTTCAAGGGTGGTGGTATGCACAAATAAAAATATTTTAGCAGCTCAATGATTGTTTAGTAAAAAACCTTGTAAACTGTTTTGAAAAAAAAAAAAAATAGAATAGGTTATTCTCAGAGTGCATTCATAAAAACGTTTATTTGCACAATAACATTATTTGATAAAGTAGATAGTTAGCATAACTTAGAACATGCGTCCGAAGTTAGGAGGATTGTTTTCTGCGATGCTTCTGAAAATCTACAGTAAAATGGCGTCTTGGCGATGCTCCATTTAATTCTTTTTACGTAACAGATGGAGGCGGTATGTGGTAAAACCTGGATATTTTATTTCAATTCTATAGATTCACGTTCGTCCTGCCCATTTACTTGGACACACGTCTGTTATGTAATGCTTGCAACGCCCAAACCGATTCCAGCTGACGCTACCATCTTATTGAGCCAATCCAGGAGTTCCTAGATGTGCGTCGTCACAGCGGTCAATGTCTTTTTTTGTTTGCTATCACCGACTAAACAATCACGCACTGTGGATGCGCCGACATCTTGCGAATTCTTTCTTTCTATGATTGGTTAAGCCGGTAATACTCACAAAGACAACGAGCGCTGTGACGATGCACTTCTGGCGCTGCTGGATTAGACTCGTCGGTCTGTAGCGTCGGCTACGATCGGACTTCAGGTAACACTGACTATAGTACCGGTTCAATATGGTTGTCCAAGAACAAAGAAACGTAGCTCGTTGGATTGGAAGGGCATGGCTTTCCGTTTCTTACATCGCAGATCGCACTGATATTTCCCGGAAACGTTACGTCTTGCAGCCGAAGAGAGGATGACATGCTCAACGGTTCGAGCTCGTCATCATTCTCTCTAGAGGACCGTTCGCACAATTACGTTTGCTTACGAACGAGTTATTGTGACCTCTTACGACGAGAAACCACAGTGGCATGCTGGCGCCATCGATGAGGTGTCCCTAGAACTGCATCTCACTAGAGCGAAGGTGTTGCTGTATTTACCAGATAAAATGTACGTACTATCTGTGAGCAGTGTTCGTTTCGAACTTTGTCAAAAGCGGTTTAAATTGAAAAAAATAATCATGCGGGAATAAAGAAGGAATTTTTCTATCGGTGGACCCTTAAAAAATGCGTTAGCTTGACCGTTGGGAAACGCCACACAGGTCCCTCCCTGGGAAATGCTAAACCTGATTGTTTTATTTTTCTGCTTTGGTTTTCTCGTTTGACTTTCTTTTGCTTCTTATATTTGTTGCCGGTTCTTTTTGGTTTTGTTACGGGATTCATTTTAGCGTTTTCCAATTGGGGACGTGTATGGTGTATCACAAGGCTCATGCTAACGTATTCCCTAATAATCCACCAATGCATCCTCCTTTTAATTTTTTTCCCCGCGGAAGCGAGTTCGTCGAGCCCGCGTCGCCCCCAGACTCTGTAACACGCAGACCCGCGTCGGCTTGCCGCTTGTTGCGCCTCGTTTCGGCCAGCCAAGCTATGCGCTGCTTCCGCGCCTAACCGCCGAATTCACAAACCTCACTCCAATTGAGGGTCTCCTCCACTTCCTTGAGGAAGGCGCGAGGGCCGGCGCTGGCCAATGGCGACTACGGATCCGCCGTCACAATTGGCCAGCGCCGGCCCTCGCGCCTTTCTCGAGGAAGTGGAGCGGCCCCCTCAATTGGAGTGAGATTTGTGAATTCGGAGGTCAGTCTCGTTTCCCGCCTTGCGAGATTAGCAACGGCATCCGCTGTCTGACGATGCTTTGGCTGTTCACCGGCTTCCTGCGCGCGCATTGGTTTCCGCCTCATGACGTCGCCTCCTCCTCGTCTCGCTGCGCCGCGCTCGCATTGGCTTCCGCCCCATTACGTCGATCGCCTCCCTCTCGCCTTTTTCCTCCACTAATCTACTCCTCTCCTACGCGGCGCGCTTCCATTTACATGCACTGTTTTGACCGCAGACGAACGCCGTCAGCTTTTCCCTGTCACGTTAGTACTCATGCTAGTGCATTACAAGGAAGCTGAAAAATGTATTTCAAAAAGTGGTATATTGGTTGATTCTAGCGTAGTTTTATCCTGTGAATCTGAAGATCACGTTCGTTTTCCAAGAAGATGTAACTAAAAGTGAAAAAAACACGAAAAACCTTCGACCGGTCGTAACGCCATAAGAGGATCGTTTGGCCGCCAAGTCCGAGTTGCTCGAGGACCGCACGTGCAATTGCAAGCTTGCTAGTAGTGCTAGGTATATTCCCCCGCACTCGTTCCAGTCGTGAAATCTTTTTCTGCCTTTTTTAAAAATAGCAAAAATGCGCGTGCATAGTTTTGACAGGCACTACAAATGCGCGAAAGTGGAGATCCCCGAAAACTGCTCTAGTGACGTTACGTTCCGGAAAGGAGGGCCTTCGGCGCTACTTTGAAAATGATTTTCTGAAGCCTCCATGCACCAAATTTAAAAAGAAAAGAAAAGATTTTGATATTGAGTCTTTAGAGGTCAGATTCAGAGGACTTAAGTGTGTTTCCTCAAATACAAAACCGCTTCAGCTTCCACTTAGAAAAATAAATAGAGAGAAATGCAAAGTGTTCTACCGCTACCCAATAGATGGCGCAACTGTGTTCTCCCGTCGTGAGAGATCCTAAGACATTTAAGGAACTCGGTCGAAAGCAGTCGGAAGTGAGTGAACACAGGGTTAAAGGAGCCATGAAACGATGTTTCTACTTTCGCTAAATATTTTCATCCCCTAACCTTAATAACACAATAAACTTGTCTTAGTTTTTCTTTTTTTGTCAACTGCAGTCGTCAAAATGTTTGAGCGTGAGCATCGTTCATCCCCTTAATTCGGAGCCAGACCAAGCGGCCACGTGGCCTGGTGCCTATCCTGTGCAGTCAACGTTAATCATACCCACGTGTTGGGGTTGGCAATGTAGAAAGCGCGTGCAGAGGCCCAGCCATTTTTTTAGAATTTGGATATTCTTATCACCGCAGTGGCTGGACACGAGCCACTAGCCCCTACTTCGTTTCACCTTATGTTGTACCGCAGCGAAGGCTAGAAGCGCGAGCTCATAGCGTTGACAGCCGCTCTTTAGTCACGAGAGCTTGTGCCGCCGAGATGTACCCCAGAGCAAGGAGCTCGCGCTTGTAGCCTTTCCTGCGGTACATCAAAAGGTGAAACAGAGTATAGTGCCTGCCGAGGCATTGATGGATACGAGCCGAAGTAGAGTGCTCAGGCAGTTCTCGTGCCCAATACATGAGTCGCGCTCGAGTGTTGTCAGGCGGATGATTTTGATCCGTTTGTGGTAAAGTTGCCCTGCTGCATGCCTATCCGGGAGGAACAAAACGAAGCCGGGTTTTTAAGACAAGAAACTACATTTATTAAAGTAACAAAGATGGGTTGTCATACAGGGTGATTCAAGGAGAGGCCAGGCTCTTTAAATCGACTGCGAAATTCGTTTTTTTTAAACTATTGCGCTACGACTTTGTGCAGCGTTGCCCACGGATGGTGCTTTTTTTTTTTGTAAAATTTGCAAAGAGCGAATCTCCCTGAGGAAAAAGTAAAGAAAGAAAAAGGCTTAGCTCCTATGCGAACGCAGCGACACCACCACTCTTCAAACAACACGGCGCCGTTTCGCACGGGAGACAAGAGATGGCGCAACGAACGCCGCTAACGAACGAGCATACGGCGCCGAGAGCCGGCGTCTTTAGCAGACGGTCTTTTCGACTCAAAAGTCCAGAGCCGGTGCCTTTAGCAGACGATATTTTCGACTCAAAAGTGGCGCGCGTTCCGCAGGCGGTGACAGTCGCAGAAACAAAAACAGGCGCGCTAACAACAACGAACTGCAGTTCCCTGTCTGCTAAAGACACCGGCTCTCGGCGTCGTATGCTTGTTCGCTGGCGGCAGTTGACGCCGCGACCGCTAGCGCCATCTCTTGTCTCCCGTGCGAAACGACGCCGTGTTGTTTGAAGACCGGTGGTTTCGCTGCGTTTCCATAAGAGCTAAGCTTTTTTCTTTCTTTACTTTTTTATCAAGTAAATTCACTCTTCGCAAATTTCACAAAAAAAAAAGCACCATTTGTGGGCAACGCTGCACAAAGTCGTAGCGCGATAGGTTAAGAAACCGAATTTTGCGCTCAATTTAAAGAGCCTGGCCACTCCTTGAGTGACCGTGTACTTCGTTTCGCCTTAGGTCCGAGCGCGGCCGATGTTATGAGCCGAAGGACCAATAAAACAGCGAAAGAGGCACAACGTCATGGCGGGCTCGCTGCAGTTGATAGCACTAGCCGGTATTCACCGTCTCTCTCTGGGTGCTCCTCCGCCGGCTAGTCCTATCAAGCGCAGAGAGCACGCCATGACGTTGCGGTTTTTACGCTGTTTGATTAGCCCTTCGTCTCATAACATCGTCGGCGCTCGCACATAAGGTGAAATGAAGTATAGTATTCAAGTATAACATTGCCATAGCGTTCGACTTAAGCGCGAAACACATGTACGACGAAACCGTCCGATCCGACGTCCGACCATGCAATACGACGGTCGGAGGCGAGGGTTTTCAACGCTCTCCGATGCTACGAAAACCCTCTTCCCCCAAGGTCATTCCGGCAGTCCGCACGTCGGATCGGAAGGTTTCGTCGTACATGTGTTTCGCGCTTTAAGCGCCTCTGTGACCTCGGATCGTCCCCCCCAGTTCTGTGAGCGTGTCCTCCTTTTATAGGCTCTCGCGCCTATCCCCCATGCGCTGTTGCGCGCTTCGGACAGTCCTTTTTGGGCGATCGGTAGTGGCCCCTGGGCGTGGTGGCAGACCCTCGCTCCCACACTCCCCACTCCCACCTCCCCTTAAGCGTCTGGCATGTCAATGGCTATCTTCGTGGTCGTCGTCGTAGGGGGGTCGTCGCAGAAGGTGTGGACGATATCGCTGTATGAG